CCGGCGCGCGCCCGCTCCCCAACGGGCCCGCGGCCCCCGCGCCTCGATCCAGCCCTGCCAACGGGCTTGCAGGCCCCGCGCCCGTGCCGGGCGAGTGGAAATCCGAATGGAAGCCAAAGGTGGAGTCGGGGGAGCCCCCCCTCCGCCCGACCCCCAGTCCCGGGACCCCGAGTGCCACTCCAGCCGCGTCCCCTGCCTTCTCAGCCCATGTGCCCCGCCCTGTTAGTGCCACTCCAAGCCAGCGCCAGTGGGTCTCCTCTGCCACCAGCGCCAACGACTCCTTCGTGATAAAGCCGATCCCCAAGCCAGACATGGACACCATCCCTTTGGGGGACCTCCAAGCTCGTGCCCTGGCTTCGCTCCGTGTGAACTCCCGAAACTCCTTCATGTTCATCCCCAAATGGAAAGACTCTGCCGCCCCTCCCCCCGAAGGGAGGCCGTCTGTGGAGCAGCCGAAGGGAGCAGAGAGTCCAGTCTCTCAGAGCCAGGAGCTTGGAGCCCAGCCGGCACCCAGTGAGGATGGTGCATCTGCTCTGAGGAGGAGCCCCTTGGAGGTGGAAGTGCAGTGGGGTGTCGATGCGGGCTGCCCCCAGCCAGGCACCTCGCTCACAGACTCGGCTGTGAAGTGGCAGAGGCCATCCTCCCCGCCCCCTTTCCTCCCAGCCACTCCTGAAGCTGAACCTGCTGAGGGCTGGGGCGTTCCCAGCTTGGCCAAGAATGTCCAGGAGCCTGGGAGGCCAGGACTACCCGTCACTTTCATTGATGAGGTGGACTCGGAGGAGGAAGCCCCCCAAGAAGCCAAACTGCCCTGCTCAGGGCCTGGTGTGCCTCCCCAGTGCCACCTGCACCCTGCCCGGCCCGGACACATCTCAGAGCTCCAGCACCGGGGCAGTAACACCTTCACGGTGGTGCCCAAGAGGAAGCCGGGGTCCCTGCATGAGCTACACCTCCATCAAGCCACCCGGGAGCCAGAACCGCAGGAGGGTGAGGAAGAAGAGCCCAGGAGTCTCTTGGGGCCCCAGACTGCCCTGAAGATCACGCTGAAGAAGCGCTACCCCACTGTGCATGAAATCGAGGTGATCGGTGGCTACCTGGCCCTGCAGAAGTCTTGTCTCCTCAAGGCAGGAGCCTCCAGAAAGAAGGTCAGTGGAGGGTGGGGGGTGGTTGGAGCCTCCTGCTGGCAGGAGGGAGTGGAGTGGCAGGTGCCGGAGCTGTGAGTAGTTGCAGCCTGTTCCCAGGATGCCTGGCAAAGGCTTCTGAGCGACCAGAACACCGGACTGTGTGGTCTGCACCAGGATCAAGCCCTGCTGCAGCCCTGGGGCCTGGGGCTTGGGGATGTGTGTGGTGGAGGGGTGGGGGGCAGGCTGTGCCAGCCTCCTGCTGGTTCTTTTTTTTTTTTTAAAGAAATACTTTTTGGTACCAGAAATCAAACTCAGAGTTCTGCCAGACACTGCTCTGCTGAGCTACATCATGGGCTCTTCTCCTGCTGGTTCTTATGGTTCCAGCTGGAATTAGCTGAGCAGGCCAGAACCCTTGTGGGTCCAGCTGGAAGGAGCAGTTTGAGCCTGTTGATTCTACCCTAGTCTGGCTTGTGCAGGTGACTAGGGTCAGAGGGGCTCGGGAGCAGGCCAGTGGCATAATTTGGGCAACCCCCACCTTGAGGCAACTCCAAACCTCCAGCTCCACGCAGCTTGCAGCAGAGGTCATCAGGCAGCTGGGGAGCTCCCCTCGGGAGGCTCTGGTTGTGCAAGTGTGCACAGCACTGCGTGTGCGCTTGGCCTGGTGAGGAGGGGCCCTGGGCAGACAGTGCCTCCTGGCTAGAGGCTCCAGCCAAAGGCCAGGGGGCCACATACGACCTAGCCGGCCGTGGCCAGCAGCCTGGAACCCTCTGGGCACAGGGAAAGCGTTCCTCAGATTCTTCCTTGTTGTTCCTGGACTTGTGCTTGTCCCTGGGGCAAATTCCAAGGCCAGCCCTAAGAGACTTCCATCAGCTGAGGCCAGTGTGTCTTTCCATGTAGCCTTGCGGCGCCTGGGATACACCTCTGAGCCCACTGGGGCCCAGGGTCCCTCCAGCCAGCTCTTCTCCCAGCCTCGTTTCTTGGGAAGACAGGGTTGTAGTGACAGTGCCTTGTGGCTCCCTGTAAAGAGGTTTGTTTTCTCTTTTGATTCTTCCTCTCCCTTCTTGCTTCCTGCTCCACCCTGCCTGCACTGTCTTCCCTTACTTGGGTAAGGGCATTGGCCTCCTGTGGCTCCATCTGCCTTGGTGGACATCTCTGATGATGCACTTGGGCCTGTCTCCGCCCCTGGCCAGCTCACCAGTCCCTTTTGTTCTCTTGTCTTCTTCTCATTTCCTGATCTTGACCTTGGCTGCTCTAGGAGGCAGCCCCTCCCCACTGTTGTCCCAGAAGTAGAAAGGATGGCAGTGCCCCTCACGTAGAGTAGACTGGGGCTTGCGGGGTCATGGAGCTTGTGGGGCTGGAGCTGAATTCCTGTCTCTGGAACCCTGCCCCTAACCTGGCTTGCCCACCCACCATCAGCCTGGCTTCTTCTGCCAAGAGTCTGGTCATCCGGCCTCCTGCCAGGGACAAAGCCATGGGGTCACTTGTGGCTGGGTTAGAATTAGGACAAGGTGGGGCCCAAGCACAGCAGGGGTGGAAGGAGTAGTGGGAGGCAAGGCTGAGATGGAGAAGTAAGCCTTGGCTTGGCAGCTTGCCCTGGTGTCTGTGCCAGCCTGAGGGGTTGGGGGTCCAGATGGAGGATGCCTGGTATGGCCAAGCAGCCCGGGCAGGGCCCTGCTGGAGCGGCACAGCCTGCTGGCCATGATGTCCTGCCTGTGTGTGCACCAGCTGCCCTGCCCAGCGAGTGCTGTGTGCCTGCTGGGTGGGGATGGGCCTGAGGCTCCTAGCCTCTTGAGCATGGCACAAGGTAGGGCACCATTACTCTACCCCTTCTGTGTGCCCCTCCTGCTGCAGTCCTTGGCTATGAGTACCCAGGATGGATCCCTAGGGTGGCTTCCTGGCCGCTCTGGCCAGCCTGTGGCTGGGTCGCAGCCTCTCCTGTGAGAAGTTGGGTGGGCTGGGCTGATGGCTCCCTTGGGTCCCTCTGTGGCTGGCTATCCCCAGGGACGTGGGGAGAGGGGCTGGTGGCTTTTTCAGAGTGCAGGTGAGGGGCAGCTCAGCAGAGGGTATCACGCCCCTGCCTGGCCTTGGGGGACTACAGCCCTGCTCTAGACTGGGGGCTGCCTCCCCAGCCTGTGCTCCTCAGGGGCCACCTGCTCGGGCAGAGGAGCCAGGTGCCCTTCACGCCACACTTTGGGCTGACTGCTGAAGGTTGCTGCTTCCCCACCCCCACCCTGCTTCCTCGCAGGTGGGGTGTCCTCCCCTCTTCACACTGCTCCCCAGGGATTGGGCGCTGTCGCCTCTCCTCTTTGTAGAGCGCCACCTGGCCTGGCTCCTGCTTGTCTGGTTGCTTCTTCCCCTCCCCACCTCCTAGTCCTCTGCCCAGAGCTTGTCATGTCCCCAAGGCTCAGTTCTGAACACTTGGTGCTGCCACCCTCCTGCATGGAGTTTCTACCCCAACTTCTGTGGCCCCCTCCTGCCTGCAGACCTGAGGGCCTGCCGCCGGCACAAAGCCCCTCCCCAGCTCCCTCCCTCAGAGTGCTGCCCAGTCTCCAGCACCTGTCCTTTATCTTTCATTCCCCTCCCCTCCCCTTCCCACAGGTGACCCTGGGAATGGTGGCCCCTGCTCCAGCCAGTGTGCTCCAGAGAGCAAGCAGTTGGGGACATCCCAGCTAGGCTGGTGTGGTCTTGTCACTCATGGGAATTTTGAGTGGGGGATGGGAAGCCGCAGGTGGCGGAGCAGGCTGAGCCCAGCTCGCTGGCCCTGAGTCCAGAGGGGACACCCTTCAGTAACCCAAGCTGGGCATGCACAGGCAGGGAGGTCTGCAAGAGAACAAAAGGGCCCTGTGAAAGTCTAGGTTCTCCTGCCACCTGCCCTCATGCTGGGTGCGACGGGCAAAGTCCCCTGGAGGCCAGTGACTGGTCTGTACAGCCCTGTCCTTGACCACACACACACCCATCCCATCAGGGGTCTGGAAGCTGTGCCTCACCCCAGTAGCATGAGTCACACAGTGTCCCATGACCCACTGACCTGGGCTGTGAGGAGACAAGGGTGGCAGCTGGGGCAGACAGCCTGTGAGCACACCCCTCACCCAGCCAGGCTGTGCCAGGCTCCATGCCCACATGTGTGCCCAGCCCCCTCGGCTTCCTGCACAGAGCTGGTCATGTGGACTAGCTAGGGCACACTAATCCGGCTGGGCCCGGGCAGCTGTTCTTTCCTGGGCTTGGTGAGGGGGATGGGGATAGCAGGGATAGCACCATAAATGAGCGCTGACGAGGTCCCCCTCCCCATGGGGCTTCCATCCTGCTCTGAACCCTCCTGGGTATCTGTCCAGGAGGACTAGGTGACACCATGCCCAAGCCACCTGGAGGAGGCTGCATCCTTGTGGTCTGTGATGGTTGCTCCACCTGCCCGGCCCCTACCCTGCCCGGCCTCCCATGGGACCACAGCTGAAGGACCAGGCAGCCATGCCCGAAGGCAGGGCAGGTCAAGGGATAGTGTGCCTTCCCACACCAGGTGGCCTCACCGCCTGCCCATCTGTGCAGAAAGCCCAGGTGCAACACCAAGTGCTGTGATGGGGACTGCAGGAGCTCGGGCAACACACAGCCCCTCCCTGGTGTGCAGTGTGGTGGCCTGCGCTGTGGGCAGGGACAGGAGGCACGAGTATGTGCCTTTCTTGCTAGTGCCCTGCTCCTGGGGGCCACGGTATCTTCCCACAGCCTGTGCCAGGCTCCTTGCCGCCCTGTGCTGCCTTAGCTGCTGGGGTAGATCTGGCCCTCCTGCCAGGCCACATTCTTCTGCTGCACCTGGGCTGCCCTGGTTCTTTGCCTGGGGCTGTTCCTGCCTCGGCTCCTTCCGGGGAGGTGGGGGAACTTGAGCTGGCTGCTGGTGTCCTGTGCCCAGGAGTTTAATATTTCGAGCCCCAGCAGGACTGTTCCCATCTGCCGCAGGCGGTAGCTGCTCATATTCATTACCGACCTGCTGTGTGTGCCTGGGCTGAGCATGGCTGAGCAAGCGGTAGGTGCTCAGCTCCTGTGGACAGCCCACCCCCAGCACGGCCTAGCCTTGAGCTGTCCCCTCCAGCCCAGGTCACAAGAGGGGATCCTGAGGGCACCCACAGCCCCCTGGCCCTGCCTGCGCCATCGCCACTCTGGCAGCAGGGTGGCCTGTAGAAGCCACCATGGTGCCTGGAGCTGCCTTCCATGGCACCAGTTGCTTTTGTAGCCCTCAGCAGAGTGGTAGCTCCTGCTTGGAAGAACAGAACGTGAATTTGGCTTTAGGAGCTATGGTATCATGTGCTAAGAGGGAGAATGGGTGGTCCCGGCCTCCAGCTAGAGGAAATCTCCTACCTCAAGCAGGCCCCTGAGAGCTGAAAGTGCCCCTCAGCACCCTGTATTCGGGTGACCAGGGGCCGTGTGCCAGATGTGCCTCTCTCCCCAGATGAAGATCTCCTTCAATGACAAGAGCCTGCAGACCACCTTCGAGTACCCCTCCGAGAGCTCCCTAGTGCAGGAGGAGGAGGTGGATGCTGAGGACGAGGAGGAGGGTGAGGAGGGAGAGGAAGAAGGAGAGGAGGAAGGTCCCAGCACTGAGAAGCCCTTTGCCCTCTTCCTGCCCCGGGCCACATTTGTGAGCAGCGTGGGACCCGAGAGCCCCCGGCTTCTGGACAGCAAGTCAGGTGAGTGCCCGCCTGCCGGCACGAGCAGCTTGGGAGGGTGGAGCTGGGCTGCTTATTCCCTTGTCCACGTGTCCCTGCATGTGTGCCTGGGCCCACAGGCCTGTCCAGCTACACTCCTAAGCACTCCATGGCCTTCAGCAAGTGGCAGGAACAGACACCAGTGCAGGCCCCATGCGAGGTGGAGCCCCCGCCGAAGGAGGTCATGGTGAGTCCAGCAGAGTGGGTTGGACGCTTACAACCCCAGGGCTATCTGGCAGGGGTGGGGATGGTGACACCTGGACAAGACTGAGTGACTGCATTCTGTCTCTTCTCAGCTCACACCTGCCAGTCAGAATGACCTCTCGGACTTCCGCAGTGAACCCGCCCTTTATTTCTGATCCTCAGCTGTTGTGCCCCGGAGCTGGGCAGTGCCCAGAAGTTTTCTGCCTGTATTCCACACCCCCTTCTTTCCCATGGCTGAGATGTGCTGGCCTGGGAAGCAGCAGGGCTCCTGATGTTAGGGCTCTAAGAGTGGTGACGGGGAGGTACCTGTGGGGAGGGCCAGGGCCTGCTGGATGGTGGCACACCTGTGACCGGGAGCCCCAGGCTTCCCTGTCCTGCTGCCAAGGCTGTCTTCCAGCCCCTGCCTGCTGTGCCCAGCGCTGTTGGGCACGTCCGGGATGAGGAGCTGCTGTTCTTTGCAGGACTCAAGCCCCCACCTTCAGCTCACATTCCTACCCTTTCTGATTGACGGCAGCTTTTTCTTGCCTCTGATGTCAGACTCAATAAACAGCACTGGACAAGGCCGCCTCTGCCTCCCCTACTAGTCCTCAGCCTGAGAATGGGATGGCACTCCTTGGGTGCCTAGGCCATGAAGGTATTGGGTGGCCTGAGTCTGGTACCCTTGCACCTTGAGGTCTCGGCCCTTGCCATCCCATGGCCTATTCTCTGCTTTCTAGGTTGCAGTCTCAGAGCTCTACGCTGTGAGTGAGAGCTAGCCTGCTGTGTGGAGTCTAGGACACTGTGACCCAGGGGCTAGAGAACACAGGGAGAGAGTGTTGCCGCTGTTGGGTTTGAAGAGGCTTCCCTGAGGGCCCACTGCCCGGGTAGGGCAGAATGGGTGCTGCACAGTAGCAGGGTAGAGGTCTTGGGAACCATGCCTCTTGTTTGGCATGGAAGCCTCTGACCCATTACCCTGCAGCAAGGCTGTGGCAGCACATGGCTCCTGAGGCCTGGCTGGAGTGCTCCCCATGAGACATGCTCTCAGCTGCCCACTAAGGCCAGTGGCAAAACATACTCAGGTGTCAAATGCGAGCATCTGAGAGCAGAATCCAGTAACAGAGATGCTGCCTGATGGCTCCAGAGGGAGGGGAGTAGGTCCCCAGGAGGGACGGGCCAGCTTTCTCTGGACTGTCCAGCTTAGTACATGCCTCCCAGCCAGCCCCTGGGCAGTAATAGGGCTCAGAGCAGGATGGGAGTGGGCCACACCTCATATGTGGCTGCAGGAAGGGGGACATTAGGCCCTGGCAGCAGTGGTGGTGTCTCAGGCCAAGCAGAACTGTGGTACTGAGGAAGGGAACTGGGTGAAGCACCCCAGTCCTTGCTGAGAGGCACCTAGGTCCAGAGTGGCAGATGTGCACATTCAGCAATCACCAGAAATCCCTGGGACAGGCTCTGGGCTAGGTACTCTGGTGTGGCAGAGCCCCTCACAGGAGGGTGGGCTGTGTGCTGGATTCAGGAGAGAAGCCCAGTGGTTCTGCTGGGAGAGCTGAGGGTTGCTGCTGCCCTGTACTCTCAGCTCTGCATCCCTAAGGACAGGGGCAGTCACAGGGAGAGCCACTGCAGCCCCCTCCCCTGAAGAGCCTGCAGCTGGGCAAGGCTTTTACTCTGACTCAGCCTGGGGGGTGGAGGGGTGCTGGCAACTCACACTGCAGGCAGGCAGCAAGCTGGTACAGATCTTTGCAAAGACAACCTTTATTGACAGTCACAGGCCCCGGGGCCAGGCCTTGAGGCTTGGGATCCAGGGTGAAGGAGGCACTCTTTCTCACTTGTCTGAACCCAGGTCCCCACTAGCTGATCAGGGACAAAGTGAAGGGCTCCCATACTTCTGTGACTAGACTAGAACCAGGACCTCTCTGGCACCCCAAGGGAGTACAGGGGCCTCAGAGGCCCCATGTGGAGCTGACATAGAGCCCACTGTCCCACACTCCTTGTAGGTGAATGAGGACTCCACCCATTCGCTGTGCCAAGGGCTCTTGTCACCCAAGAGCAGTGGAGATGCAGCTGCCGCTCTGGGCACTGGAAATGTGAGAAGGGAGCTGCCACCGTGAAGAACAAAGATGCTTCAAGACAGATGTGCAAGGGGCTGAGTCATCACAGGCACAGCAGAGACAGGGCCTGCCCCGGCCCACCCAGCTTCGTCAGCTGTCCTTGCCTCCACTGCTCTTTTGGTCTGAAGCTGTGGCCTTAGCCAGGTTCCCGGCCTCTCTCTTCAGGACACTAAGCAGAGTCTGCGAGCTCTCCAAGATCTAGGGCCACAGAAGCAAAAGGGTTGCCTGTGTTCCTCCTGTTGGAAAATCCCACCGCCCCGAGGCTCACACTCAAGTGCCCGATCTGGGTGGGCGCTGTGGCCAACGGGGCCAAGGAGGGTAGTCAGAATCCTTCTTTCCCTCCTGCACCTGTCCCACACCCAGTCCTCCCACCCTGGAAAGGCAGGCTGGGTCAGCCCCGATCCACCTTGCGCTCCACCCCACACTGCTCCTCGTGCAGAATAAACACCGTGAGGACCCTGGACTCGGTGGGCCGCACAGACAGCCGCGCTGTCTCTGCCTGCGGCGGCCCAGGTCGCGCCGCCCCAGCCCCCAATGCCGGCGAGGGGCACAGGCCCGAGGCTGGGAGCCCCACCTTGAGGTAGGCGGCCTCCGTCTCCGCGATGGTGCGGTCAAACTCGTTCCGAGAGGCGATCTTGCGCGCCAGGTTCTCGTTGACACGGGCCAGCTTCTCCGTCAACTGCCTCACCTCGTTCTGCAGCCGCTGCTTCTCATCCTCCTCCTGCTGGATCTGCTGGCACAGCTCCTCCCGCTTCTGACACAGTTCTTCGATGCCTAGGCGGGCAGGCACAACGCTGTGAGCCCGGAGCCAAGGACGGTGCTGGGGGCCGGCACCCGCCCCCTGCCACGGCCCGGGCCAGACCCCCGCCCTGCGGCCGTCCGCCCGCTCTCCCCGGCTCACACTTGACCAGCTCGTTGTTGTAGTTCTGCAGCGCCGCGCCCTGCTGGGTCATGGTGGGCGCCGCACCCCTCCACTCTAACCGACTCGCCTGCCCGGACGTTGTGCGTCATCGCCGCGCGCAGGCCTGGGTGTCATCGCTGCGCGCCCATCAGTGCGTCACGGTGGCGCGCCGCGTCTATGCCTACGTCCTCCTTCTGCGCTGCGTCTACTCATGCGTCATTCTTATGCGCTGCCTAAAGCGCTGCGTCATTCCTCTGCGCCGCATCTGGCTGGTCTGTAATTAGTGGACGCAGATGGAGACTGAGGAGGCTGCCGAGGCTGCGGCGGCGGTGTCTGGGAACAGCAAGCCCGGACCTGGACCTGAGCTGTTAGTGGCTTGGAATACCGTGAGCACCGGGCTAGTGCCGCCGGCTGTTCTGGGGCTGGTAAGGCTCAGGAAAAGAACGGCGGGCCCGTGTGGAGTTCACGGGACCCGGCGCGGGATCCACCGTGCTTCGTCCGCGGGCCGCAGCGGTCCTTCCTCCTCCTTCTGTTGCCCCGTCTCTTTCGGCTGCCCTGGCAGCGCTCTAACATCAGCTGCGGGTGGGGCATCGGGCTTTCCGCATCCTCACTTCGGCTCCGTCCCGCCCCCTCCTCTCCCCACCTCCGTTGTATCCCCTTTCTACACGTTCTTCACATTCCAGGCATCTTCCCGGACCAGCGGTGCGGTTCCGCCGAAGGAGGAGGAGCTCCGTGCGGCGGTGGAGGTTTTGAGGGGCCACGGTCTGCACTCGGTCCTGGAGGAGTGGTTCGTGGAGGTGCTGCAGAACGACCTGCAGGCTAACATCTCGCCCGAGTTCTGGAATGCCATCTCTCAGCGCGAAAACTCTGCCGACGAGCCCCAATGCCTTCTGCTGCTCCTTGACGCTTTCGGCTTGCTGGAGAGCCGCCTGGATCCCTACCTGCGTAGCCTAGACCTTTTGGAGAAATGGACTCGCTTGGGCTTGCTGATGGGCACTGGTGCTCAAGGGCTTCGAGAAAAGGTCCACACCGTGTTGCGGGGAGTCTTGTTCTTTTCCACCCCCAGGACCTTCCAGGAGATGGTCCAGCGCCTCTATGGGCGCTTCCTAAGAGTCTATATGCAGAGTAAAAGGAAAGGGGAAGGGGGCACAGACCCAGAACTGGAAGGGGAATTGGACAGCCGATACGCCCGCCGGCGGTACTATCGGCTCCTGCAGAGCCCACTGTGTGCAGGGTGTGGCAGTGACAAGCAGCACTGCTGGTGCCGCCAGGCCCTGGAGCAGTTTCACCAGCTCAGCCAAGTCCTGTGAGTACTGCCTGGTGGCTGTGCCCTTGTCCCTCCTGATTCCCTGGAACCAGCCGGCTTCTACAGAGAGCTGGTGAGCTGGTAGGGAAGGTGATGTCTCCTGCATGTTCTGATAGCCAGGAACGTGAGAGAGGGAAGGTCCCAAGGATCCCTGTTTAGCGAGTGTATGCTCTGTCCCAGACACACCTTCTGGAAGGTGTTTCTTTTCTGACATACCTTTCCCAGGGTTTCAGCTTTGCTCTTACTAAGATCCCCCATAGCCAGTGTCTGCAGTAGTAGATTTCATTCCAGATTTCCTGGGCTTTACAGAATTCTGCTGTGCTTTTTGTAGATTCTCTGAGGGAGAAATGATGGCCCCCTCTCAGGGAGTTTCTGCCTCCTAACTGAACGATGGCCTGCCATGTCTTCTTTTCAGAATATTTCAGAGACCAGGCCAGTGTGTGGGCATGCAGATTCCCTTTCCAGTCCTTCAGAGAGGAAAAGATGTTAGAGCGAGGAGCCATTGTAACTGTCCATGGACTGTCGCGTCCTCTGTGGCAACTTGGGGTGGTTTGTCACGTTGAACAAAGTGCAGGAGTGTAGCTGTTTGGAAGAGTCTCTTAGGTTGACTGAGGGTGTAGGGGTCAGATGTTTCAACACACATAAATGCTAAGGGCTTCTGCTGGGTTTATCCCAGGTGAAAACTATATGGCAACCTTTTTCTACCAGAGTTCTGTTTGCCATTGTAGACTGGGCTCTGCCCTGAAAACTTAGGCATCAGTGGCCATAATTTGTGCAGCAGAGCAGTGGTATATCAGTGCCCTCAGTAGCCAAGATTGGGTTCTGGTAGCTATACCAGCTGGTCACATGGGGAAGGCCAGCAACCGTGCCTGACCAGAGGCCAGCTGGGCAAGAAGCACAGCACCTTCCCAGTGCTTTGTGCTCCCAGCAGCTTGTCTTTGAAGCCACTGGTACAGGTCCAGGAGGGCTGGGGGAATGTGAGCACTGGCTGTGTTCTGCAGACGGGTCCTGCAGGGTGAGGGGCAGTTGTGTGCTATGGGTGCTCCATGGGCAGGGCTTTTCTCTAGGCACAGGCTCAGTCTGCTGGAGCGGGTGAGTGCTGAGGCAGTGACCACCACCCTGCACCAGGTCACCCGGGAGAGGATGGAGGACCGCTGCCGAGGCGAGTATGAGCGTTCCTTCCTGCGTGAGTTCCACAAGGTGAGCGTTTGCTGCTTTGTGCTGTGCCCTGCAAGGGGTGGGAACAAGATGCGTAGCAACCCTGACCCTGACTTGAGAATTAACCCAGGTGATAGTCCCGGGTGGATGAGGACCGAGCCTTCGCTGAAGCTCGTAGTGCTAGGTAGAGGTCAGTTTCTCTGCACGCTGGCATTAGCAAAGATGAATTTGGCATGTTTGACAGTTCTGTGCCCAGTCTTGTGGCCGGGGGCAGTACAAAGTCCAGATTCCTAGGACCGTCCCCTGATAGGCACAGCAAGGCCAGGCTCATTGATAGGGGTGGTGCCTGGAACCTCTCTTCTTTCTGTTTTACCTGAGGGTGGGCTCACTTGACTATTCCCTTGTGGACTAACCTACCACCAACCTGCACTCTAGCATGGAGCTGGGGGCTCAAACTCTTGGTTGTAGCGTGTGGTTCTGTTCTTGGTTCTCCCATCCTCTTCTCCACCGCTTCCATATGTGTCCTGAGGATACAAATTAGCCACAGGGGGGAGTGTTCAAAGTGAGTATTGGGGGGCTTGAGTGGGCATGAGCCCTAGAGGCTCAGGTGCCTGGTGTGGAGAAAGGGCACTGTAGGTAGTTCTGTGGCCAGCTGGTCTGTGCGTCTGTGTGGCCTGTTGTAGATCTACACGCACTTAAGAGATGACTTCATCTTACACTGTATCATTTACACAGCAGTAGGGCTTGGCGGTCATGTCTGAGGTCCTGAGAGTAGGTCCACTACCTGCCAGATTCTGCACGCAGGCTGTATGCAGTCGTGTCACGCTGGAGTTCGTGTTTCCCGAGACAGTCATGGACGTGATGTGTGTGAGAGGACGTGAAGATTGATGGGATCAGGGACCCACTGGGGGCTTGCTGTCCTGCAAGGGCTCCCCTCAGCCCTAGGCAAAGGGCAGGTAGTTGTGGGTTGGACAGGGCTCACTCAGCATCCCCATGCCTCACCTGCCAGTGCTCTCCCACAGTGGATCGAGAGGGTGGTTGGCTGGCTGGGCAAGGTGTTCCTGCAGGACAGCCCTGCTCGGCCTGCGTCCCCCGAGGCTGGAAGCACGTTGCGCCGGTGGCGCTGCCACGTGCAGAGGTTCTTCTACCGCATCTATGCCAGCCTGCGCATCGAGGAGCTCTTCAGCATCATCCGAGGTCAGCCACCCCCTGTTCCACCTTACAGGGCCCTCTGCCAGCCTGGGGCGTTCCTAGCTGCTTGGCTTTGTCCCCCTCCTGGTCCACACTGGGGTGCCCCCCTTCAGTGTGTGCAGGGCAGTCAAGTCTCACGGAGCTGGACCCTCTCCACTGAGGCCCAGGGTGTGGGTCAGGGCAGGTGCACAGGGTGCTGGAAGGTGCTGTGGTGTGTGCTCTGCCCAGAGGTGGCCCTTTGTCTCTGCCCCAGGGGGTTGTTAGGGTCAGACATTGCAGCATGCATGAATGCTAAGGGTGGCTTCCAGTGCCTGGCAGGTTGCTCTTGTCCTGGGCCCCACTTGGCCATGTGAACTCTTGTGCCATGTACACCCTTCGCTGGCCTCCATGCTGGTGTGTGCACATTCGCACCTTTCCCTAAGGGCTTTCCCTTTTCTTTCAGACTTCCCAGACTCCCGGCCAGCCATTGAGGACCTCAAGTACTGCCTGGAGAGGACCGACCAGAGACAGCAGCTGCTTGTGTCCCTCAAGGCTGCCCTGGAGACACGGCTTCTCCACCCAGGTGCATGTGTGGCCAGCCCCGGGGCTTGGATTCAGCTCCCAGCCTTGTATCTGTAGGCCTGGGGAAGAAGTGGATTAAGAAGCAATGCTCTGAGGTTCCTGGGGAGTTGGAGGGCCTTCAGCTTTACCCACCTTTGGAGAAAGTCAGCCTGGCTTGGTCTGGGGTTGTATGTGGTCTTTTCAGAGCAAACTGGCAGGAGAAGGGAAGTTCTGGACAAAGCACTCATAAATGGGTGGAAAGGGGATGGGCATCTGAGGAGTGGCTCTCTGCAGTCACCCTGGCCCCAGAAATGAGGTCTTGGCATTGCCCCTAGAGTGCCTGACTAGTGTGCCCAGCCTGTTCAGGTGCTGGCACTGGGAGGCTGCTGTCCAGCATGCTGTGTGACGGGCTCCTCCTCCTGGCTGCAGGCGTCAACACATGTGACATCATCACTCTCTACATCTCGGCCATCAAGGCGCTGCGAGTGCTGGATCCCTCCATGGTCATCCTGGAGGTGGCTTGTGAGCCCATCCGCCGCTACCTGAGGTAGGCTGTGCTGCCTGCGAGCCCCCAACACTGCTCTGTGCTCTCGTCCATGCTGCCCACGAGCCCCTGATGCTCTGTGCTCTGTGCTCTCATCCAGTGAGCTGAGGGACGCTTGGCAGTTGGGAAACCAGAGCACAGGGTTTTTCTAGCTGGGCGGAGTGGGCTCCTTTTCTCTCATCTGTGCTGGTAGCCCGTCCTTGTCCCCACATGAACTGCCACATGTGCACAGTGACATGGGGCCCCTCCTTAGCACTTGCCCCCTAGCAGAGAGAGGCCCTGACAGACTAGGGAAGAAGGCTGGGTCCTGCACCACCTTGGCTTTGCCATGCCAAGGACCAGGGACCACCATGTGTGGTAGGTGAGGGGAATGTGTTTAAACAGGTATCTTGGCACAGCTGCCCAAGGGCCCTGGACTCAGGGCTGTAGGTGCCAGGGATCCCTGGACCTGAGCCACAGCATCTGGTGGGGTCTGGCACCTGCTCTGGACTCAGGCTTGCTGCCTTCTAGCCCTGACCAGCCTGGCTGTGGGGCTTCTTGTCTCTGCCTCTGCTGCTGCTCCCAGAGCCAGCTCAGTCTTCTACCCTTCCGGAGTCAGATGAGTTTGCACTGACCACAGTAGGGCAGGCAAGGGTGGTGCTGCGAGTACCACATGCCATAGGGACAGCCGCGCTCACTCTGCAGGACACGCGAGGACACGGTGCGGCAGATTGTGGCTGGGCTGACTGGGGACTCGGATGGGACTGGGGACTTGGCAGTTGAGTTGTCCAAGACTGACCCAGCCAGCCTGGAGACAGGCCAGGACAGTGAGGATGACTCCGGCGAGCCTGAAGATTGGGTCCCTGACCCTGTGGATGCCGATCCAGGTCAGCTTGCCCCTCCAGCCTCTCCTCAGCCTCTGTGGGGCTCAGGTCCCATGTGTGTCTGTGGGTGTTGGTCTTGTCAGGGAGAATGAGGGGTCCTGCTCACACAATCAACTTGCCGTTTGCTCCATGCGTCTGGCTATCCCAGTCTCGGAGGGACCTGCTGGCCCTGCCCCTTGCAGTGGTCATTGATAGAGGAGGGGTTTGTGATCTACTATGGAGCCTTCAGGGAAGGTCCAGGTGGCAGCCCCTGCAGGCCTCATCTTGTGCCTGGCCCCACCCTAGGGGTCCCTGAGGGCAGGTGGGTCCCTGCCTTGTTACTGAAAATCCAGAGGCCTTTGTTCTGTTCCCTGAGCCTGCGTGGGCATCCCTGTGAAAGTGGAGGGGCCTGGGGATGCCAGCAGGTCCCCAGGATCCAATCCTAGGTGTCCCAGGAGGTGCTGGGCTGCTCCAGCTGTGAGGGCATTGAAAAGTGAGCTCTCAGTGTGCTGGACAGCATTGTCGAGCAGGGCAGGTCTGGAATCACCATCCTGGTCATGGTGTCATTGGTGTGCCTCCCCTGCTGTGCCAGGGAAGTCAAGCTCCAAGCGGCGCTCCTCGGACATCATCAGCCTGCTGGTCAGCATCTACGGCAGCAAGGACCTCTTCATCAATGAGTACCGCTCCCTGCTTGCAGACCGCCTCCTGCACCAGTTCAGCTTCAGCCCTGAGCGGTGAGGCCTGTGAGGTGCTGGTTGGCCTCCAGGGGGCACTGGAGCCCACTGCTCCTGACTGCCAGGATGAAAGGATGACAGGGCCCAGCTGACCTGAGGGTGGCCACCCAGGGAGGTGCTGGTTGGGTGTAGGGGTGGCACCCCACAGCCCTCCCAGAAATATGCCTTCCAGGGAGATCCGCAACGTGGAGCTACTGAAACTGCGGTTTGGCGAAGCCCCTATGCACTTCTGTGAGGTCATGCTGAAGGTAAGCATCGGACAGAGAGTTGCCAACCCCTGGCTGGTCCTCGCCAGCCTGGGCCTTCATGAGATGCCGTCTCCACTCCAGGACATGGCAGATTCCCGCCGCATCAACGCCAACATCCGCGAGGAGGATGAGAAGCGGCCTGTGGAGGAGCAGCCACCGTTTGGGGTCTATGCCGTCATCCTGTCCAGTGAGTTCTGGCCCCCATTCAAGGAGGAGAAGCTGGAGGTCCCTGAGGACATCAGGGCCGCCCTGGAGGTCTACTGCAAGAAATACGAGAAGCTGAAGGTATGGTGGCCTTCGGCATCTCGTTGGTCACACCTCCCCTGCCTCTTGGGCCCGCTGCCTTCCGCCTTCTAACTGGAGGCTTTGGGTCTCCGTGCTGCATGGCTGCCCACACTGCTCGGAGGTGCATGTGCAGTTCGATCATCCTCTTGCTCTGTAGGGATCCCATAACCAGAGCAAGCCCTCTGAGCTTCCTCTCCTCTGTTGTGACACTCTGGCCTCCAGCTGGCGTGCCAGGCATTGCCCGCTGCCCCTGACTGTTGGAGGCTGTGTCTCTACTACAGGTATCCCCTTCAAGCATGCCCAGCCTTCACAACGTAATGACCTCTGTCCTGGAAAGCTGCTTCCATGGGTCCTGAGACTAGGGCAGCAGCTCCTTGGAGGCCCAGGGCTCAGGGCAACACAGAGGAAGAAGAGGGCTGGGGATTTAGCTCAGCGGCACAGTGCCTGCCTGGCAAGCGTGAGGTTGTGAGTTTGATTCCCGGTACCGGAAAAAGAAAAAAAAAAACAAAACATAGAGGAAGAAGGGGTCTGTCTTTGGCCATCCCTGGTCAGTGGCAGCAGTGTGCCCAGCACAATGGCCCAAGCCCATGTAGCATGTGTTCCCTGGCAGCATAGCTGACCCTAGTCCAGGTGGGCAGTGTAGCCACATAGGCATGGGGCTTGGGGGCCAGATTTTGACATCCTCCTTCCCTCCTCCACTCGAAGTCAGTCCTGTTAGGAGTGAAGGGATTGGAAGCCCCAGCCCAGGTAGAGTTTGAGTCCCAGGCCACAGGAGGCAGCCCAGCAGGTGCTCAGGCCTGAGGGGAGCTCAACACACTGGTAAAGTTAGCAGAGGAAGTGAGGGGAGGAGATCCGGGTCACAGGCAGCAGACCCCAGCCTGGAAGCATGAGAGCCCCTGGAGGAGGTAGCATGGCAGCGGGGCTGTGTGAGTGCTGGCAGCTCCTCTGACTGATGGGAAGCAGTGTCAGGCCTGACTCTGTCTTCTGCATGTGGAAAGCCTTGCCCTGCCTGTGGTCTGTGGGTGCCAGGGTGAGGGCAACCTGGGAGGGGTTGAGGGGGCCTATGCTGGTACGGGCACTGGTGGCCTAAGCCCAGCTGCTGCCCGATACAGCGGCTCAGGCTCTGGAGAGCCTGGTATCCTGCAGCCAGGCCGGCATGGCCCTTGCAGGTGCTCAGCCCTCACTGCGGCACCCTTTCTGGTTGGGGGTATCTGGGTGGCTCATGCCCCATGCTCAGTGCCCTCTCCCCAGCCCTTCTGGGTGCCTATTGGTATGGGGCACCCATGACTACCACAAACCAGGGACGTATTGTACTGTTTAGATTTATTCCCACAGTGGGGCTGTCGCAGGGTCATGCTTCTGGGGCTCTTGGGAGGACCCTTCTGGCCTCTTCCAACATCCAGTGACCCCGGGGGCCCAGGGTAGATGCATCTCTTCTGTGTCTGTCAAGGACAGTGATCATCCTGGGTTGAGGACCCACCCTATTCTAGGACAGCCCCGCACTTAATGACTCCCCAAGCCGGGGACACTCTCAGGTGCTGGAGTCAGGACTTAAGCAGCGTGTCTGGTGGACATAATCCAACCCTCATAGCCTGCTCTGTGGTCCCCCATTTTCATGGCCTCCCATAGTAAAATGCATTCAGCCAAAAGTCAGTCCCTTCAGCATCTCCTGAGTCCCAGATCTCAGCGTCTCAGCTGTGTCTCGGGCAGGTGCAGAGGAGACCTGGAGGCTAGGCCCCCTGGGGCGGGTGTCTGCTCCCTAAACACAAGCTGAGACAGCTTAGGACCGCACACTCCCATCTCCAAAGGCAGAGATGAAGGAAGAAGCCACATGTGCCAGTCAAGTCTGCAGTCGGCAGGGGGCTTGAGTGATGCCAAGGCTGCAGCCCAGCTTGGGCTCTGTGGGCATCTGTGACTCTGCCCTTCAGTGTTTCATTGCCCTTGAGTGTCTCTTCTGACCTTTTTCAGTCAGGGAATTAGTATTGCTCCTGGAATAAAGTTCTCAAAAGCCATGCTGGCTCCTTCCATACTTCCCAGCATCCAAGTCGGCATGCTGGAGGGCCCTCCACAGACAGCTTCCGACACATCTGCCCTGGGTGCTGTGCAGGGGTGGGTTGGACTCACAGGTCGCCCCTCTTCGGCAGATGCTTGACCAGCTGGACTCCTTCACTGTGTCTGTAGACCTGCCTGGATAGGCACTAGGTCCTGCCTCCCTTTTGCTTAGTATGTCCTTTTCCAGTCTCTCCCTTTTCTCTCAGCAAAGAAAAACCCACTGCACCTTCCACACTGTGCTTGGAAGTCTTCACATAGATACTCAGGCTCATCCTTGCAAGTCCTGGTCTCCTGCCTGCAGTGGGATGCAGTTCAGCCACGTTTTCTGTTGTCTCCTCCATACTCCAGTGCACATCCCTCGTTTTACCGTGAGCGCTCAAGAGAAGCACCTCGTGTCCTTGTCCTCTTCCTTGTGGGGACACCAGTCCTCAGCATCCTCCTGTTAGCTGATTCTGTCTGACCAGCTCTTCCCAAGCAAGGTCACTGTCTTGGTTATTTTTCTCTCGTTACTGAGACAAAATACCCAATGCCCAAAATGAAGGAAGGAAAGGTTTATGTAGCTCACAGTTTGTGGAGGTTTCAGTCCATACTCAGCTGGCTCCAAGGCAGAGGCACATGGCAGAGGGCAGCAGTTCCTGGCGGCGGAAAACAGTGAAAGCAAAAGAGCAAAAAGGAAGAGCAGCAGCAAGCAGCCTCTTTCCCCACCTTACATTGTGTGCAAACTACCCACCCCGGGGCAGGTGTAGCACTCACTTCCATAATCCTAGCATTGGCCCATGAATCAATCATAAACTCTAAAAGCCCGCCCCATCACTGCATGTGGCTTTGGGGGGACACTCAGACAAAAACTGTAACAGTCACTTTCCGGGGTGCCAGGGATTCAGACCTTCGGGGGTGTGAGCTAGTTTATAGTTTACAGCAGTGGCCCCAGTCCCAGTGACTGAGTAGTGGGGGCCCCTTGCCATCTGGTCCAAGACTTCTGGGCCTGGCGCTACCCATGCCGACCCCTGCTCTCCGCAGGCCATGCGGACCCTCAGCTGGAAGCACACCCTGGGCCTGGTGACCATGGATGTGGAGCTGGCTGACCGCACCCTGTCTGTGGCAGTGACACCTGTGCAGGCAGTGGTCTTGCTATACTTCCAGGACCAAGGTGAGCAGGCAGCCCCAACCATGCAGGCCCAGGCCTAGCTCTCTAGCTAGCTGTGGAGAGTTGGAGCAGCCTGGGCTGTGCAGGCAGCAGCCTCTTCCCTTTCCCAGGGCTGGCAGGGTGCTGTGGGTCCCACTGACTTCAGGGAGGCAGCGTGGGGCTGCCAGGAAGCGGGGCAGGTGTGGCTCCCCCAGCAGCTCCATTCTTCCCACAGCCAGCTGGACCCTGGAGGAGCTGAGCAAGGTGGTGAAGATGCCCGCGGCGCTGCTGCGGCGCCGCATGTCTGTCTGGCTGCAGCAAGGCGTGCTGCGGGAGGAGCCGCCGGGTACCTTCTCCGTCATTGAGGAGGAGCGGCCACAGGACCGTGACAACATGGTGCTCATTGACAGCGATGACGAGAGTGACTCTGGCATGGCCTCACAGGCTGACCAGAAGGAGGAGGAGCTGCTGGTGTGTTGGCTGTGTCAGGTGGATGGGTAGGTGGGCAAGGGTCACAGAGAACAGCCCCTGATACACGGCTGTCCCCACAGCTCTTCTGGACATACATCCAGGCCATGCTGACCAACCTGGAGAGCCTTTCGCTGGAGCGCATCTACAGCATGCTGCGCATGTTCGTCATGACAGGCCCTGCGCTGGCAGAGATTGACCTGCAGGAGCTCCAGGGCTACCTGCAGAAGAAGGTGCGTGACCAGCAGCTCATCTACTCCGCTGGCGTCTACCGCCTGCCCAAGAGCTGCAGCTGACAAGTGCCCAGCAGGCCCTGTCCAGTGTGACCCCAGGTGGACAGCTGGGGGCTCCCCTCTCTGTCCCACTGCTGTGTTCCTACACCCTGCCGGCCCCCACATCTCTGCCTTTCCTCCCCTGTTCTGCCTCCTGGTCTCTGTACCCGTCTCCACCACCAGAACTCAGATTAAAGTCGGTCAGTTCATTTTCTGCATCCAGGTGCCTGTGTGGGCCCCTCACACTCAGTCTGCCCATAGTGGCCACTCTGCCTCGGTCCACAGGGCCTGGGCTCCCCACAGCAGGTGAGGGGGCACCCACGCAGCCAGCCCCACTAGATGCTGTGGGTCTGTCCTGAAGACGACTCAGGTTGTGGTAAGCAAGGGGTAGCTGTGGGAGGCCCCCAGTGGGGCTCAGCTCTACCTGGGTGGCCTCCACCTCTACCTGGTCTCCTAGCCCTCAGAAGGCACCCTCACCTTCACCTCTGCACTCTTGGCTTGGGTGCTGGGCCAGCCTGGGTGTGGCTAAGATGGAGATACTCCACCAACCCTGAGGCAGAGGTGAAGGACTTCCAAGTCTGAGGTGAATGTGACCTGGCAGCCAGAGGGACTGGCCACTTGCCTACCTGTCCCAAACCTCATGCTTATGACCTTACACCTGGAAAGCAGATGACCTCTGTGTCCCCCAAAGCAAGGGCTTGAGTGAGACAGCTCTACCTTTGCCTGAACGTTGGAGACAGGCTCAGTCCAGGAGGTGCATGCACTCCAGTCCCCTGGGGTCCACCCTGGCCTGACACTTAGTGTTGTAGGCCTGCTCCAGCCGTGTCCCCAGTCCAGTCCCAGAGCTGCTGTTCCCAGGGAGGAAGTGTTCTGGGCTGAAGGGCTGTCCTTGCAGGGAACAAAAGCCCTTTGGAACCCATGCTATTGTCCTGCTCCTGCATTCCCTGGCCTTGAGCCACACCTGGCTTCAGCTGTGTCCTGGCCCCCTGGCCCTTTCCTGGCCCCTCACATTTGCTGCTGTGATCCCAGAGCTGCTGCCCTAGGGCCCTGTCTAGGGTGGCCTACGCTGCACATGCTACAGAAGACAGTGTCGGGCATACAACCGAAGGATTCTACCCCTGCCTCCTTCACTCACGCCGGTGCCGGGGCTGTGGTTACACTGGGTCCCGTGAGATCTGGAGATAGCCTTAAGGCTCTGGCACCCACCCTCTCCCCTCCAAGGTGGCCCTGTCTGGATCCCGCCACTCGTGGCCACCACTTAGCCCCCAGCAGGGTGTGCCTTTGTCCTAACCAGGATGTAAACCTGCCAGACTGGCCTGGCAGGGTGGAGGTGCCAGCCCCTGGCGGAGGGCACACCTTCTATCCTGCATTCCTTTGGAAGTGTCCTGGATCACAGCATGGCTGTGGGTCTGTCCCGGGGACCCCTGCAGGGGACACCTGTGTCTGCCCTTAGAGAGCACCAGAGGCCAGGGGCTGTAGGTCAGGCTGTGCTCTGTGAGGCCGAGGTGGCAGGAGGCCTGGAATCCTGCTAGCCTGGGGGTGCATTTGCTCTTGGTGCCGCCTCAGCTTGGCAGGTCTTGAGGTGGAGGCAGGGTGGAGTGGCTCCGACCAGCCCGGAACAGCAGGTGCAAGGACATGGCCTGGGGAGGTTAACCCTGACCATGCCAGCCTGAGGTAACTGGCTGTCTAGTTGGCAGAACTGACGCTTGGCACAGTGGGCTCCAAATTTAATGGTGGGCCAGGACCCTTGGGTGGTACCTACAACCACTTCTGAGCAGCCGCTCCCAGAGGGATGTTCTGGAGCCATGGCCGGGGGTCCTGCACCTCTCCTGACTGAGTCCCTGTGGGGGCCAGCAGCCTTCAAAACCTGGGCTATGTGGGCAGTGTGGTCTTGAGCTTGCCAGAAGCAGCAGTGAGGGTGGCTAGACATACTCTCACCCCTACCCTGCTGCCCCCTCAGCCCCTCCCTGTCCCAGCCCTGGAGGCTGAGACACATAGTCTGCTTGAGCCCAGACTCTGCTCTGCCACCCTGATGCTGCGAGAGCACTACTGCAAGGCCACTGACCCTGCATCAGAGGGTCCAGCCCCACAGTGCTTGCCTCAGATCTGGCCAGGTCTCCCACCCGTCCTACCCCAAACTCCCCTTGGGCCCTGCAGCCCTGCCCCCGCCCACCCCCTGCCCCACTGTGAGGTCAGCACCATCCTGCAAGTTCCGTCCAGAGCTGTGCAGCGAGGCTGGGCTGGACATGGTCCCCCGTCCTCAGCCTGACTCCTGCCTAGCTGGCAGCCTCCTGGGCCTGATATGTTTGTCCTTGCTCATCCCTGCTGCAGGTGCGCCCCTGCCCCCAAGAGTCCCGCACTTTCCTAGGCAGGGCCTTTCCCACGTCTCACAGGGGCCCCTGGGGCAGGGTGAACCTGGAGGTCCTCCACTGGTGGATAACAGCTCCTGGCCTCATGGCCCTGTCTCCGCAGCTGGGACCAGCTGTGACTGCGGCCTTGGCCTCAGCCGCGAAGCCCTCATCGCCCTGATTGTGGTGCTGGCAGGCATTGGCGCCAGCTGCTTCTGTGCCCTGGTCATTGTGGCCATTGGTGTCTTTCGAGCCAAGGAGTACGTGAGCTCGGTGGGGAGTAGTGGGACGGAGACCATGCAATGGGCCCCACGCCCTCGGTCAAGGGGGGGCTGTTACTAGTGGTTGGGAAGGGCATTTCCCAGGTGTGCACCAGGGAAGGGGCTGGGGCACTGCTGGGCTTACGGGGCCAGCGTTCCTCCAGGAGTCATACCTACATTTGTCCTCCCAGTGAGACCTGCTCCAGACACATGGACAGCAGGTGAGTACTGGCACGGGTGGGGGTGTCCCCTCCATGCCACCATGGGGGAGGCAGCTCATGGAGGCACCGAGAGCCCTGTCCCCAAGGCCCTGCCAGCCTGTGCTGTCATGCAGGTTGGTGGAGCACTATGGGACCCAGGAAGACTGCATGGACATGCGCTCGATGCACATGGAGTCCCACCTGGACCTGGAGGTCCCCATGATGCAGTCCATGGAGGAGCATGTCCTCATGGAGGACACTCTAGAGGAGCTACCCCTACACCCCACGTAGGGCAGAGTGCCAAGCAACAGAATTAAAACTATTTAGTGGTTGTGTGCTGTCCTCCTTGCAAGCAACACAACCCCTCGAGGCACAAGGGTGGTGGGATGCCCCTCCCCCAGGCAGAGAACCACACCCCAGGCTCACACTTGGCTAGACAGCCTGGCTCCTCCCTGCTGCACCGTCCCAGGAAGCCTTGGTCACCCTGGGCCCCTCACCTGCATTGTCAAACCTCACACAGGACCTGCAGTTGCCAACTCAAGAGATGCACTAGACAGGAGCACCCAGACTGATGTCCCCCTTCCCATTCGCTGTACCCTGCAGGTTTCAGGGAGTAGAAGACACCCACTTTCCCTCTGCACCATCCCCCTCCACTCCAAGGCTTGTGCCCCAGGCTCAGGCTGGTCAGGTACTCCTGCCATTCACCACAGCAGGGGACCAGTACACTCCTGAGGTGGGGTCCCCTCACCTAGTCCAAGTGGAGCTGGACTGGGTATGAGCAGGCCACAGCAGCTTGCACACTGCGGTCCTTGCTGAGGGTGCAGGTGGGCATGGCCCTGCTGCTCAAGCCTCTCAGGGTTCCACTGGCCTCACCCTCACAGAGGAGAAAGAGCCATGGGCCTGGCGCTCTGGGACAGGTGGCTGGCAGTGCTGGGCGTTGGCTTCATGCCTGCCCCCCCCAACCAGCCGTGGGACAGGAACGACAGGTACCAGGCTGGACAGTCAGTGTTTGCGCAGGCACACAGGGACGAGTGTCCTGGATGCCTGGGCTCCGAGGACACACAGGCAGCAAGGAGCCCACCTTGGGTCTCAGCGCTGCCCCTATGCGGGGCCTCTCCTTTTCCTCTTGGCCTCCAACAAAACTGCTCCTGCTGCTGCTACTGTCGCTAAGGCCAGCCTGGGCCCCAGTGCCCACTGGAATCGCGCCCTCGAAGCCCCCTGGCGCCCTGAAATGCCCCGAGGCATGCACCTGCTCGGTGGGTGGCCAGGCCAACTGCTCTGCCCTGGGGCTGCTTTCTGTGCCCGCGGGCCTGAGCCGGCCCGTGCATACGCTGCTGCTTGACCACAATCGCTTGTACACGCTGCCGCCAGTGGCCTTCGAGGGCGCGAGCGCCCTGTACCTCCTGGACCTCCGCAAGAACGGGCTGCGCTCGGTGGACGCCCGGGCCTTCTGGGGCCTGGGTGCCCTGCAGCTCCTCGACCTGAGCGCCAACCAGCTGGAGACGCTGGCGCCCGGCACCTTTGCACCGCTGCGCGCGCTGCGCTCCCTATCGCTGGCCGGAAACCGCCTGGCGCTGCTGGAACCAGCGGCTCTGGGCGCGCTCCCGGGGCTGCGCGCGCTCAGCCTGCAGGATAACGCGCTGTCGGCGCTCGAGCCCGGCCTGTTCGCCCACCTGCCCGCCCTCGATGCGCTGGGCCTGCGCGGCAACCCGTGGGTCTGCGGCTGCGCCCTGCGCCCGCTCTGCGTCTGGCTGCGGTTGCACCCGCGTGCACCAGGTGAGCGGCGCCCGACTGGGATGGCCGAGCGGGGCGGTTGGGACCTGACGAACGCCCCCGCTTCCACAGAGGCCGAGACCCTGCTCTGCATGTCACCCGGGCGCCTGACGCTCACCCCGCTGACCGCCTTCCCCGACGACGCCTTCCGACACTGCGCAAAGCACCTCGCCGCGCGGGACCTGGCGGTGATCTACGCCCTCGGGCCGCTCTCCTTCCTCGCCAGCCTGGCCACCTGCCTAGCGTTGGGCTCCGCGATCACCGCCTGCCGCGCGCGCCGCCGTCGCCGCCACCACCCGGCGGCCCGCCGCCCGCCGAGACCTCCGGACCTCGCCGGACCCGCCGCTGTCTCAGAGCCGGAGAGCGAGGCCGCCCCACCAGCACAAGCCTGAGCGTGCCCCGACCACCCCCACCCCGGCCCCGCCCTCCCTTTACGCTCTGCTGGCAAAACAAGGACACGGACTGAAAATGTCGTGACATTCCTTTAGGCATGACCACTGCACACGGGGCGGGGGGCGGGGCGTGCCGGGCCGGAAGGCGCAGAGCACGGCTGCGCACAGGACGCACGGGGAAGGCACGCGCTCGGGCACGGAGGGTTGGGCCTGCACCAGGCGGCGCGGGGGATGACACACCCGAGGCTGGGGGGAGGGCGGCGCGGTGGCGCTCCTCTGCGCCCAAGGTGCGGGGCAGGGTTGAGACAGTCCAGAGCTGGCGTCTAGAGAAGCCCGAGGGTAGCTGCAGGCGAAGGAAAGGCTCCGCCCACTCGGAGTCTGAAGGAGGCGCAGGCACGGGGACCCTGAGCACCCCAGGAGGTGCTGCCAGCTGGGGGAGTAAGGGGCAGCTGTGGGGACTGGCAGGACCAGCCCAGCAGACGGGGTTCGGGGGAGAAGAGGCACGGGGGCGGGGGTGCAGCAAGAAAAGGAGAGGATGGAGCTCAGGCTGCAGCCAGCAGGTGCTAGAGGAAGGGGCCCTGCCAGCTGGCGCCATGTGCCCCACCGCGGCTCAGCATGGTGGCCGGATGGGGCTGCCAGCTCTGTTCCGAGCCCCTCTGCCCAGGGCCACTGCTCAGAGACCCCAGGGCCCTGCCTCTGCCGGAGCGCCCTGTGGCCCTGCCCAGCCGGCTCGGCTCTGGCCCGTCCTCAGCCGCTCCGGTCCGCACCTTGGTCCAGCAGGGGCCGCCTGCCAGGCAGCAGGGCAGGCGCGCGGACAGGAGGCCCAGGGTGGGCAGTCTCTGGGGCGGGTGGGTTTCCCTCAGGCCTTCCCGAGCAGCAGGACTCATCAGTGTCCTTGGCCGGGCTAACTGGGCAGGTGGGCGCCTCCGGGGGCCTCACACCACGGTGCTGACCGAGGGATCTGAGAGGTTGAGCGGGCCCGAGATATCAGTGGGATGGTACTGCTGCAAAATAGAAATCACAGACAAGGTGGCCCGTTAGCCCGACGCCGGGGGCACGTGCGGGGCCAGGACAGGGGGACCGGCCGGCCGGCCGACCGGCGGGCGGGCAGGCGCAGCCTGGGGGAGGCTGGGGGCGCTCCTCCCTGACCCCGTCGGGCTCTGCGTGGGCCGGGCGCTGTCCCGGGCGTCTGTCTGTCTGCGGGGGTGGGGGCAGAGGAGGGCGGCGGGCGGGCGTCTCAGCCCTCCCTATGACGCGAACACAGCTGCAGCGGGCCCTCCTCCCTCTCAACAGCGCGTCGCGGCAGCACTGTGTCTTTTTGGTTTTGCAAAGCGCCGCGTCCACCCCCGGTGCTCTATAAATAAGAACCAACAATCAATACCCGCTGGCCCCGCTGGCTGCCAGGGATCCCAGCCCTGAGTGCCCAGTGCCGCCCTGGCCCGGACCAGCCACAGGACAGGGGCAGAGGATCTCAGCAGCGGGACCAACCCCACCCCACCCAAAAGAGCCCCCCCTCCCCAGGCCTCCCTCTGAGCAGGTGCCCAGCTCCACAGCAGGGCAGGAGCTGGGCTGCCCTCCCCCACCCAGAGCCCAGTAGCAGAGCGCCCCGCAGTCAGCCCTACAGGGTGAGGACCTGCCCCAGGTGCCACCTGGCTCTAGAGGGTTCCCCTGGGAGCATGTCCCCAGAAGGACACCCTGAGCTGCACCTGGGCCAGCTGCAGGCAGGACTCAGACCTCGGGGCCACCTACTGTAAGTGGCCCACCACTGCACAACTTGTGTGACCCCCAGATACCCCCCCCCCAAGTGCTGCTTCTCCTGTCTGCCAGGAGACATCCTCCTCCCCTGGCTGACCAACCCACAGCCCTGGTGGCCCTGCTCTCTTTCCCCCTGCCCTGTGCCTCCTGGTGGGACCCCAGGCTCAGGCCGATTGGGCCGGTCCTGGGGACTGTGATGCCACCAGCTCCTAGGGTCTCCAGCTGCCTTGTTGGCCTTCACTGGCCTCCTCCCAGTGGAGCTGAGGAGTCAGGCATCCCGGGTCCCTCTTAGGGCACCCTGATGGCTTTGCCCTGAGACTCAGATTGCTCCGTGCCAAGTCCTGCCTGTGCCCTGGAGGTCTTCCCTTCTTCCTGTGCATGGAGAACATGGGGGCTGCAAATCACAGTTCCTCCCTAGGGCGTATTCCCCTTTGGGGTGGCTGCCCATGGGCTGGGGACTCCCTGTGGGTGGGACTGCAGGGCGGCTGCCTGGATCCAGGGTTCCTCTAGCAAGGGCAGAGCCCTCTGGGGGCCTTGGGTCTGAGGGTGCTTTCCAGTGCAGTGACAAGCTGCACAAAGCAGGAGATGGAGTCCTGGCTCAGCAGGCAGAAAGCCTGGTTCTGAGTGCCTGTGGAAGTGCTGAGGTCAGAGCTGAGGCATCTGTCTGGGCATCTCCTTCCTGGGCCCCCTCTGGAATCTCAGTATGGCCCTGGGCTCTGCTGGCCTGGGTTCACAGAGTTGCCCCTGCCTGCCTGCCTGCTCTCAGGCCCTCAGGGGCTGCTGCTCACTCCGGCAGGGACCCCTGGTCCCACCCCGTCCCCCATGGATAGCACCCTGTTGCCGGGGGCCACCAGGCCCCAGCCGTCCACCCAGATGGACCCGGCCCCGGCCCCCAGCCCCCGGCCCACACAGAGACCACATGGAAGATGCAACACGCATGGCTCTGGTGAGACAGGTGAGACAGGTGTCCGGGGGGGCGGGGCCAGTGGCCAGACAGACGGACGGGATGGGACATCACAGCCACCCCCTCCAAGGCCATCACAAGGCAGCAGTGAGGGCGGCAGCCCCGCTAGGAGAGGTGAGAGAAACGGGGACATCACAGCAGTGGTGTGGCCTCCTGGTGCGGTGGGGGGGGCAACTGAGACAGGGCTGCTCTGGGCTCCCAGGACTGGGTACGGCCCCGGGAGGTGGTGAGGCTGGCTGACTGACCAACGACATGAGACGGCTTCAAGATGGTGTGTGGGTCACGGCATGGGGGGAGCGGGGAGGGCAGACTAACGTGGAGACACACGGGGTTGGGGGCTGAGGACCAGTGAGGCCGGGAGAGGTGTGGGGTCTGGAGGGCAGCGCTGGCTGGCCTGTGGGCATGGAGAGGGCACGGGCTGACTGGGGCAGGGGGCTGCTTGGGGCAGAGGCACAGATGGCCAGGGTTGGAGGCAGGGACAGGGGTGGGATGGCGAGGGAGAGGGAGACAGACACGGGGCGAGGGAGGAGTTGGAGACGTGGGACTGGGGTGTCTCCCCCTTACCGTGTCTTTGGAGGACCTACGTCTCTTGAAGCTGGAGGCCAGGGTGGAGGTGATAGCCCTAAATGTGGCTTTCTTTTTAGGGTCAGGCTCTGCTCTACCACTCTTTCTATCCTAAAATGAATATGTATAAGTGATTAGATGGCTAAGGATGGCGGCCATACCTGCCCTCGCCTACTCTTTAGGGACCGCTGCCTGGCCTGGCCGGCCACTCCGGCCCTCGCTTCTGCCTGTCTCCCTGTGCCGGGCAGATGGACTGACGGCCAAATTCTTGAGGGCAGCCTCTTCTCCTGCCTGAGGGCTTGGCCTGGCCTTGCTCTTGCTAGGGCTGGGCTGGGGTCCCGGCCAGCTCTCCTCCTGGGAGTCCACCCGGCTCCCAGGCAGCCCAAGGAGGAGGAGCCCCTCAAGGATCAGAGGAGCTGACCCCAAGGGGCACACATCAAGAGTGAGGAAGGGGCCGAGGGCCCAAGGCAGGTGTCAGATGGAAGTGGAGCAATAGACAGAGGCAGCTCCCCGGACCCTGGCCTTGAGTCTGACGGTCAGCGTGGCCCTGTGCCCTCCAGTGGGAGCAGTGGCCAGGTCCCCGAGGGACCTGTGGGCTAAGAGCAAGAGTGGGCGGATGAGGTGTGGGGACCCCAGCAGCCCAGTCCCCCCACAGCCTTCACTGCAGAGCCAGCTTCATCTTGGGACACAGCTCCAGGAAGGCACCAGAGAAAGAAAAGAGAGGAGCGAACAAGAACTTGGAGAGGGCCGCCAGCCCCAGGCCTGACGGGCCACTCCCCCATCCCGTCCCCAAGCCCTGAGGGCTGTGACTGACCCGCGTGCATCCTTGGCCCAACTGGCTGCAAAGCCCCCTGGATGCACCCTGGGGCTCCAGACAGGGGAGGGCGGCTGCCTTTGGACTGAAGTCACAGAGCAAAAGGTCACAGCAGGAAAGGGGTCCCTGGACAGGGTCAGAGGACCAATTGCATTGGGGCTCACATGCTCCACACAGGTGGGCCCCTGCCTTACCCTGCCTGCTCGCCTTCCTATGGGACGGGCGCCGGTGGGCGACTCTGGAGACAGGGGCAGGTGGAGGCTCCAAGCGGGGCGTGTGGCCTCCCTCGGCCTGGCTTGGCAGTGGGTGCCCACCAGCAGGCAGCCCGCCCCAGCGCTGCCCCCATGTCCTGGGAGCACTCACCGCTGCCCCCAGCCATGGTTCCTAGCTCCAGTCCTGCCCACAGGAGCCAGAGCCAGTGCCAAGGCCTGCGGCGCGGGGGGTAGCTGTGGCCAGGCCGGGCCTGGGCGCCAGGCCTCACAGGGTGGCCTGCCCTACCTGCAGGTTCTTCCTCCACACGTTCACTGCTGCGAAGGCCAGCTGCATCTGCTTCCTGCGTGCATCCTTGTGGCGCTTGTAGGCGATCTCAATGAAAATCAGGAAGATGCCAGCCACGATGCCCCCAGCCACCAGCATGAAGACCCCTGTGTGCAGGCCGGAGCCTCAGCTGCTGGCTGAGAAGCCTGGCCAGTCCCAGTGCAGCCCTGGAGGGGAATGGGGGCCCCACCTGCCATGTTCTCGAAGGTGAGGGTCGCAGGGGCGTTGCTGCGTGAGTCACATTCCTGGTACCGAACCCACGTCTTGTCCAGGTCTTCCATGAAGCCATTCTCATGGGACCTGAGGTACAGAGTAGAGGAGCCAGGTGGGTGACACCCCATGAGGGGGCTGTGCCTGGATGGGGTGAGGCCTTCCGTGGGGGGGGCATTCTACGGAGAAAAATGTGTGGATTGGGTAAAGCCTTCAGTGGGCAGGGCACTGTA